ATTTCCTAAATTCTAAGATTAGAGGCGTGCCCCACGAAGACATGCAATGTATTGAAACGACCGAAACCGCAGGAACAAAAGGTACTGGCAAGCGTCTTTTGATTGGTGGTTGGGATGCTGCCAGCAAGTCACTCTGCCTTACTGAACCACGATTTTTTTCATCTGTAAAATGGGACTGATGCTCCTTAACCCTGGTTACTAGGAAACAACGGACAGCGGAGCACGCTGGATGAGAAATGTTGGCTTAAAAAAAAAAAAAGAAGAAGAAGAAGAAGAAGCAGCATGCCAGCTTAGCTCTATGTCATGGCACCCTGCCTGTGGCTGCTTCACACCTGGAACCCTATTGGAAGTGCACTCTCACATTCCCCCCAGACCTGTTGTGGAGGTGGTCTCATGAAGCCCAGGGTGGCTTCAAACTTGCTATGTAGGTGTGCCTAGCTTACACAGCACTGGGGTTGGAACCCAGGGCTGAGCGACACTCCTACGTCCCTATAAAGCTACATTTCAGCAAGCTCTGCAGGTGACTGTGGTACAGGCCCAGATTTGAGAGCTATCTTCAGGCTGACGATTCCATTCCGAGACTGAGGACTTGCTGCCAGATCCTGTACTATTTCTAAGAGCATTAAGGAGGTTATTTTCTTTAGGCAAAATTCTCCGCTTTTAAACACTGGCAACTAGTTCAGAATTTAGAAATGTACTGTGTGGGCTAATAATATACGTGCTCCAGCTGGATCTGCCGCCCCCTTGTTTTTGCTCGGCTCTTTAATCCTAACAGTCCTGCAAGATGCTGCAGGCATGTTCACTTTGTGGAAGACATTGTAGACCCTCAAGGTGAAGAGCTGTTCTGCGTCACAGCCCACAAGCTGTTCCTAGGTTGTTTCCTGTTTTCTTTTTCTTCTCACTTGCACTCCGGCCCCTGCTCTCCTTACGGATGCAGAAGAAAAACTATAGTATAGACAGTCTAGCTCAGAGCCTGGCCCCCAAATAAAGCTAAACATCTGTTATCACCGACCTTGAGAACTCTCTTTCCCATCTTCTACCATCCCCTGCGCACCATCCTGCCCCCATCCGCATTCCAGTAAGAGAGGGCCAATCATTGAGGGAGCCTATGAGAGCCTTGGAGGGGTTGGGCCTGATGATACCCTGTCCAAGGAAGCTGGGTAAGTTCTGGAAGAAAGCTGAGTGCTGCCAGTGCCCAGGGATAAAGGTCCAGTAGCCATCTGGTCCACAGGCTAAACCAGCCGTTGACCAAAGTGTCCTCTGTGTGCCCTGGGTTTCAGGAGCCTGCCCAGGACTGTGACCCCACCTAGCTCTTACCCTCCTTGCTGTTGACTTTCTCTGAGCTCAGAGTAAATAGGCCCAGCCCCTCCCAACAACGGCATGTCTCCAGTCCCCAGGCTGGGCCTGCAAAGCTGAAGGAGACACTTTCAGCTGCTTTTCCCTACGTCCTTTGTGGACTCAGCAGTTGCACGCATTCATAGGAGCAAAGCGGGTCTCTGACATCCCACTTGCAATGTTGTAGCTGCCTCTTGCCTCTGGCAGCAAAATCATCCCGGCCTTCCTTACAGAAACCTGGATTGCTGGAGCCAGCAGCCTGCTTGCAGGCACTTCCCACGTGACTCCCTGGGTCATTGTTTTGGCATTTGGAGTTTGACATACACAGCTGTACTTAAGTATCTCCAGGACTCCCACAAATAACCCAAATCCACAGATGCCCAAGTCCCCCGTTTAACACAGAGTGGCTCCCCACATCCATTAATTTTTTTTTTAAAGAAATAACATGTTTTATCACATTCTTCCCCTCCCCCAACCTTTTGAAGATTCATACTACCTGCCTACCCCCCCCAAAAAAAAAACCCGAAAATGAAAATCAAATCAAATCGAGCAAACAAACAACAACGAAAACCCAGTAAGACATAAAACTACCAGAACAAAACATGTACAAAGAAGAGTCCATTTTGTCTTGATCCACTACCCCCAGGCCTGGTGCCCGCCCTGGAGTATGGTTGTTTCCCTTTCCCAGCAGACATCAACCGAAAACAGCGTCTTGGTTAGGGCTGGGACTTTGTGTCTACCCCGGCTTCTTGGTACAGGGATTTTTGTCTGGCTTGTTCGGCCACAGTGTCTGCGAGTCCCTACGCACCGTCTGAAACACGTTACCACTGGAAGATGCTTGAAGTCAGCTGAGGCTGCCGTGGGTACCACTGTTCTCAGAGTGTCCTCACACTACCCAAGGACGGCAGGAGGAAGACGCAGAGAGCTGGCCAAGAAAGATGAAGAAGACTCAGTAGCAAATCCTGGGGCGACGCTAACAAGGAGCCCAAATCGAAGTCTGTGCTCAGCAACCTAGCCCAGAGTGACAGAGCACTGGAAGAAAGGTTCTGACTGGGAGCTTTTCATTCCACCGTGGTCTCTGAGAGGTTGAGATTTGGGGTTCCCTGGCCAGGAAGTCCTTCAGGAGCAACTTAGTAAAGGACTTAACTGTTGTGGATGTAAACACGGTTTTGTTTTGATCCCAGGTGTGGGATATGGACTGATTCAGATGGTCCACAGCAGGAAACTGTTTGCCTCCTGCAGGCTCTGAGAGGGGCCCTTTGCCAGCTGCAGATGGTTTAAATCAAAAGACTCCGAGAGGGAATAAATGCCAGGGCTCAGAGAGAGAGAGAGAGAGAGAGAGAGAGAGCGGCTCCGAGAAAGAACAAGGCTGCTGGTGCTTCCTCCCCGTCTACCTGCTGCTCCTGATTGCTGTTGATGAAGTGTGACAAGAAATTGGCGGTATCCTGAAATGAAGATTGGACTTTCCACAAGGAACCCAATGACCCTAGCTGGCAGGAAGTAGCTAAAGAGAACTCCGTTCCCTCTCCCTACTAATGTTCTTTCTCTCCTACCCTGTGTTGGGGTGTTGGAAGGGATTCGGGTGGAGAAGGGAGGAAGAAGTATAAGAAATGTAAATAAAATAGTTTAAAAACTAGCACCAACAGTGGCACCCAGGCGCAGGGCTTGCAATAGAAGCATTAAGAAACAAAAATAAAATAGTATAAAAAGTAATAAATAAATAAATAAATAAATAAATAAATAAATAAATAAGATAGAGTTAAAAGAATGCCAACACTTAAAGTGCTTCCAAACACTGAACCCCAGGAACTTACACCAGAGACAAAGTGTGGAGAAGGCCCAGCCCCTGGCAAAGGTTTGTGGACAGGTTCAGTGGGCTGTGCATTTAGAGAAATAAAATGTATTACATAAAAATAGAGAGTGGTGTTTGCTAGAACACATGTGGATTCTGTTTAAATCTTGTGAAACACTGACTGCCACGTGGATGACGGTACATTATTAAGGGACAATGTCAAGAAACAAGAGTCAGTGCGTGCTCCGTACAGGTGCAGTTTGGTGCTCGAATATTTTCCATCAGAGGCTGGTTGAATCCCAGGACACGCGACTCGGGGACATAAAGGGTAGACTGTATTCCTTGGGGTCCATAGCAGTAGGCATTTGTCATTTGCTGGGTATTCATGGCTGTGTATGTGGTGGTCACACACCCAGGCCCGGGGGTTCCTATGTCAGTAAGTATGGACTTCACGGCTGTTTCAGGGCAGAAGCATGGCATTCTTGTTCTCATCAAACAGGACTTTAAACATTATTCCCCCCCCTCTCTCTGTGGCCCTGAGCATTGAACCTCGGGGCCTCACACATACTGGGCAAGTGCTGTGTCCACTGAGGTACATGCCCAGCCCTCCACTCATCGTTTTTACAGGTGACAAAATAGCTCTTCAGAAGAGGGAGCTGCTTCATCCAAGATCCTTCGAATAGGAAGTGGTGGAGGTGGGGCCTAGTCCCTGTCACCCCCCCTCCCGAAAGCACCGCACAGCAGGACAGCCCCCTTTTGATTATGGTAACCGAATTCGGTACTTCAGATCACGGTGGGTGCAAAGCTAAAATTAAAAAATATACCCAGCCAAGACATGAAAGAATAGCAGTATCAGTTGTTAGCTGCCAGGAGAACAAGGGAGTCAACTCCACAGTGATACTCTTGGCCACAGAGGAAGGCTAGGAAGGATGAGGACTTTATTACGGAGGCCTATACCAATCCATTTGGGAGGTTCCTAGAGAAAGGTCCATTCCTGCACAGGCCCGGTTTGTGCTGCTAAGTTTTACCTGATAATAAAGGGAAGGATGTCTTGACGGTGCGGTGCGTTAGCCAGGGAATCTGCCCTGAAGGTACCAGCTCTCTATCATCACTCTCTGTATGTGTGTCCTACAGTAGGCACCCAGCATGGAGGGAAGAGAGCTTTCAAGAAGAGATGTGGTCTCAACATCGTGCCTGAACAGCTTTGGCCCCGGAGCTTAGGTGGGGAAGAAGCCTCTGAAGGTCTAGCCTGTGTGTCAGACACAGTTAACTGTAACAACTCTCCAGTCAGAGTAAAGATTCTGCTCCAATGGTGTGTGGCGGGAGGGGGCAGAAAGACGTGCCTGAAAGGGCTGGAAACTTCACTGGTTTCTCCTTTGTGGACTTATTCTTCGTGAGATGGATTCCTTTGTTAGTGACTGCCGTTTCTGCAGCCTCTACTACACCAGGCTTCTGCTAAACCCTGAACAGGGCTCTGCATCACACCGCTGTCTGGCCCGAGTCTTACCGCTTAATCCCCTGCAGCCTTGCTATTTCCTCCTCAACCAGGGCCTCCAGTCAGTCCAGGAAGGACCCCAGACTTTTAAAAACTGAGCCCAGGAGCCCTGGGTCTGGGCCCTCTGCTCCTACTGCCCTGCCTTGCCCTCAGGCCCTAGAAAGGTAGGGAGAGAGGGAGGGGTGGACAAGTGTCCGGCTGCAGCTGGCTCGGAGGCTGTCTCGGTTCCTGGTTCCCACCAGAGCCAAGAGTGACACCTGATCCCGGGGGATTGTGAAATGGCATGAGGTGGCAGGGCGCCCGCGCTGCCCGCTGCCTGCTGTGCTTCCTGCACCCCTCGCTCGGCCCCGCCCCCAGCGCGAGTGGTTAAATCCCCCCCACCCAGGCTGCAGCTTACACCTGCACCATGCCTGCCTGTCGTCTCTGCATGCCGGCCTCAGGCCTCCTTCTTGGGCTGCTGCTTTTCACTGCCACCTCAGCCGCAGGTGAGTGCAGTCGGGAGTGCGGTGCCCAGAACGAAGTTTCAGAACATGGGGTTCTGAGGTGAAAGTGGGGAGGCCAGTGAAAATTTAAGATTTGGAACTCTGGGGCCTACAGCTAGTGATCCTTGGAGCTTAGGATTTGGGGTACAATGTACTGGAGGGAGGGGGAGACCAATGAAAGCTTAAAGTTGGGAGGGGCAGAGGCTCTTTCTGTGCTGGAAGCAGAGGCCAGATAAAGAGGAGGGGGAAGCTTCCAGGCTTAAGTTCCCCAAGGACTGGGGGCTTTGAAACCAAGGATCAGGGAGTTCCCAAGTGTCAGGGACCCCTGGCCCGGGGATGGGGCCCTCTGGGGTGTTATGAGGACCCCTGGGGCCAGAAAATCAGCAGGCCTTGGAGTTGACATTTGGAGATCTTGGAGCAGGGGTTGGGACTGGGCTCGGTTCTTCCTGGCAATTGTCTGCTCCCATCCATCCCAAGGCACCGGAACAGAGAAACCGGGCGAGTGCCCCCAGCTCCAAGCGATTCCGATTCCGGGCTGTGTGAAGGACTGCGCCTCAGACAACGACTGTGCTGACAACCGCAAGTGCTGCCAGGCCGGCTGCAGCTTTGTCTGCTCCACGCCTAATGGTAACCCCGCAGCAACCTGGCGGGACAGGGCGGGGCCGCCGAGGGCTGAGCTAGATGGTCGTGCCCGGGTTAGGGGAAGAAGGGCATCCCAGACTCAGAGACCCCGAGAAGGTTGAGGCAGTGGAAACCCGATCCACCTGTGGGTGGATGTAGGGGACAAAGGCATCCCTGAGGAGCGGCCCAGGGGGAGGAGGGCCTCTCCCTCGCCCCCTCTGCCCCCCCTCATTCCTGGCTGAGCTCGATTCTCTGGTGCATGACGGGCTTCCGGGCATGCACAGCGCGACTTTGTTCCGGGACCTGGGTGCAGTGGCTTCCTAGGCTGGAGATTGCGGGTGATCTCTGGGTGGCGTCAGGGTTAGGGTCCGGAGGGGACCCCTTGCCTCTGGGAATGCCTCCCACAGTACCTTCCACTGTCTGGCTTGGCAAGACTCAGATTTGTCCTTGAGGGAGGTAGAGAACTTTGGAAGTGTGCCGCCAAAAGAAATGTTCTTGCACAAAGTCACACCGCCATCCCGTGGCTGGCAGAGTTTCGGTTTCTTCCTTTGACAGCATTGGCTTTCCCTCATATCTGTAAAACCATCTCCTCCACCTTCAGGACCAAGAGAGGGAGAGCTCTCAGGTACCAATACCACGACTCTGTCAGCCGACCTTGCCCATACTACTCCCTTATCAGGAGGTAAAGTCTCCACAGAGCCACCAGCTGTGATCAGCAAAGGTGACCGAGGTATGGAATCTAAGCTTCTCATTTCCAAGAGGGAAAAGCTGAGGCTAGGAGGTGGGGATGGAGGCAAGACGGGTACACAGAGGCTTGTAATTGCTGGCCTTTGTTGTGGGGACAGCCCCTACCCCCCATTTTGCCTCTTACTATTTCCCCCAGAGATGACAAGAGAGGATGGGAGCATTTATACTTAGGAGCCCTAAGGTGCTATGCGCAGAAAGGTGGGAGACGGGGGAAGAAACCCCCATGGGGGGCAGCTTAGAGGTGTGGAGGTGCTGTGGATGGGCCTGGAAAAGGAGGACCAGGAAAGGTGGACACGAGCCAACTGGCACATCAGGCTCTGTCAGGCAGAAAAAGATATTGTTTTCTTGTGTCAGATGGGCAGGCCAAATGGCCTTTTGAGCCAGGGAGGAGCCTGGAGATTTGAATCCTAGCTCTGCCATTTCCTAAGTGTGTGAGCCTGAGCAGCTTGGCTCTTTGAACCTCCAGCTGCTCATCTGCAAAGTGGGCATGATGACCTCAGCGGGTAGGGGTGGGGTCGGAGCTAAATGCAATGGTACTCAAAAGCATCTTCTCAGCAAGCGGACACTCTGTACGAACTTGCTTTGGTACTCAATCTTGTGAGCATTCTCATTTTGTCACAGGGGAGCCGCCCCAGAACACCCATACTAGCCAGGATGCTGGCAACCTCTCCTTTCACGCTCCCCTTATCTCCTTCACTGCGTCTTACCTTTCACAGCTCCTGCCTGGTGATTCCACTGAATGAGACATGGTGTGGGATGTAGGGGGAGTGTTGTGTGTGGGGGGGTGGTTTTCGAGCATGTATGGAGGGCCACGGCACTGAGTAATTACAACTGGCAGTGAGTCCATGGGAGTAAGTGCAGAGAATGGGTGTCAACTCTCACGCGTGCACTGCACTTTACAGCTTATAAAGTAGCACAGAGCCTGGTGGCAAGTGAATACACCCTAGAGCCAGCTCTCCTGTGGTTCAAATCCTGCTTCGGTCCTGCATGGCCTTAGGAGAAGTACCTTGCCCCAAACTGCCATAGTGTCCTCCTCTGCAATGCAAGGAGATATAGCAGAAACTTTCACCTCTTTTAAGATGCTTGTGAGAGTTGGATGAGCTCTGCCTAAGCAATGCCTGGCTTACCACACTCCTAGTTAGGTGTTAGTGCTTAGAATGACTCACTGTCGCCAAGTCTTTTGACTTTTTTCAGGATGGTGTATGGGGGGCAATAATTACTTTTATAACAACCCCACAATGCAGTGACAGGGATTCCATAGGGCATCTAAAGATTGGGGCTCTGGGAGATTTGGGTTGAAAGTCCCAAAGGGAGAAAATGGCAGAGCTGGGACTCAAACTGAGGTCCTGAGATTTCAAAGCGGTACCTCAGTTTGGAGCAGGAATAGGGGTTTGCCGATCATCTCCCCAGGACTCCTGAGAGCAGCCCAGGTTTCTACCATCAACCCAGGTAGGCAGCTCTTCTGGTGATGAAGCAGTGTGCGACCACACTTTACTGATTGTCTGTGCCTCTCAGCTCACCTCTCCCCCCCGCCCCCATCTTCCCAGAAAAGCAGGGCACCTGCCCCAGTGTGGGCTTCCCCACGCTCGGCCTCTGCGAGGACCAGTGTCAGGTGGACAGTCAGTGTTCTGGCAACATGAAATGCTGTCGAAATGGCTGTGGGAAGATGGCCTGTGTCACACCCCAATTCTGAGGTAGGTGGGAGCAGAAGAGAAGGTTCGGAGATGCCTAGATACAAGGCTACTTGCAGCAAGTTGAACAGGAAGAGCCTGGAAAGCACAGTGATAACTGATCTGTGTGTCCACTCACTTTCATTAGTTTAACTCATATTTATCTATACCAAGTGGGTGATGTATGAGCCAACAAACCAGACAAGAGGCTGGGGTGATGGATTTTATTGTCTAGTGGTGAGAAAAGAACCCAACAAGCTGATTTTACATGTCCCAGGGAGGTGGGGTAAAGAGAACAGCAGGCAAGTGTTGTGGGGGAGGGGCGAACAAGGGGCGTCAGTGTAACTTTTACATGGGACAGTGAGTGAAGTCTTCACCAGGAAGGTGCAAACTGAGAGTGGGAAGGCGAGCATGTCCAGGCAGAGGTAGCAGCAACGTGAAGGCAAGCACATTGCTGGGGCACTTAAGGAAGAACCCTAAGGTTGAGCGGAAGTATGAAGAGAGGTGAAAAGGTATCTGGGGCCTGAGACAGCTCATTTGAGGACCTCAGAGGCCATAGTCTTCACCAAGAGGTGTGTTTCCAGAAAGAGGCTTGCCCTGACATTTTCAAAGGACTCTCCTGTCACGTGCTACGCTGTAGCTAGACTGTAGAGGGCAGGAAAAGAGTCACAGGCTCACCTATGAGTGGACAGGTAGGAGGACCCTGACCAGGATGGAGGCAGGGGAGAGCGGTGGTAGCCAGTTCACCACTTTGTGGAGAAGAACAGTGGTGTCTGCTGATAAGTGTCTGACAGGAACTTCGGTTAACTCAGGAAAGGGGTAGCTGTGTCCTAGGGGAGGGGACAGTGTCTTCAGGGGAGGAGACAATGGCTGGTGAGGCTGAGGAGAAGGTATCTCTTTGGCATGGTTAGTGGGAGACAGAGGGTGGGCCTTTATTTACTCCAAAGGCCCATCTTTGTGGACAAATGTGGTCAAGGTGGCTAACTTCAGCTGCATTTATGAGTCGTGTCTGAGATGGGCTAAGTATTTACTCCGAGCAAGCCAGGACTAGATTTCAGTGCCTTTAGTACCTCAGGCCCCGAAAGGAGAAATCTGTGGAGCCATCCTTCTCTTTGTATGTGATTAAAAAATAAAATACTGTTAAACTGGGGCTAGAAAGGTGACTCAGCAGTTAAGAGCACTTACTACTCTTGCAGGGGACACAGGTTTGGTTCCTGGTACCCACTTGGTGGCTGACAACCATCTATAACTCCAGTTCCAGGGGCTCTGATGCTCTCTTCGGGCATCCAAGGGCACTGGATACATACAGGAGGCGCACACAGGTCCAGGCAGGAGAGGCACACGTACACAGAAAAGAAACGCTTAATATAGCATTATGCCAATACCGTAAGCGTTAAAAAGGGTGAAGCTGAGACAGACACCTGGTTGGCCCTTTGGGTGATCCTGCAGTGTGGCTGTTTGAGGCTCTGGGACAGAAAGGTGACCACCCAGCTGAGCCTGCAGTGCAGTGGTTGATGACATCACCTGTGCCCGCTGCTGTGGGGGACAGATGAGGAGATGTCACCAGGCTTGAGGGAGGGAGCGAGGATAGAGTAGGAGCAGCTGGAGAAAGCCTCCCGGGGGGGTGACCCTGAGCTGGGGCCATGACTGGTGGTTTGGTGCGGTGCAGGGTGGGGATGCTCCTTTAAGGCTGAGGGAGCAGGATGAGCAAGAACTTCGATAAGGCTTCGGTTGCAAGCTCAGCTTGCTGGCGGAATCCATCAGTGCACACAGAGATAACTGAAGCCCAAAGAGGGGGGTGTGTGCCCCATGCTTGTTATTCCAAAGTATGCTTTTCAGTGGCTAGGAGGGAACTATAGTCTTGCCAGCACCCTGAGCTCTGCTGCGATGCCAGCTGCCTGGTGGGCATTGCAAACACGATGAATGAGATTCAGCTTTCGGCCCTGGCCACTACCTAGCCTCTTCATCTCCTCGCCTACAACTACTGGCTTACAGAATGGGGACATCTTGATCTGAATGAAGGCACACTGGGACTTTCTGGTGCTAGAAGGAAGATTCTTAGACAAATAAATGTTTCTGGGTCTCCAGAGACGTCACAATCATCATTTGGGAGTGTGGTATACCCATGTAGGTCCTGGAACAGGTTTGACTTGAAGCCTAAGAGATGAGCTTAGAAGCTGCTGGGCGATGCAGGCAGAGCCCCCCCCCAAAAGGCGGTGCTGTGCTGTGTGCGCAGGTGTGACGGGAGAAGTGGGGAGCTGGGTGACACTTGTGTCTTGTGTGACAGATGTTGATTGTACTCTGGTTTTCTTCCTTCAGCTTCAGCCACCACCAGCCTGAATGGGGAGAGGTTCCTTCTGCTGAACTGTGCAGCTGGCTTTGTTCCTGTGGCCTTCCTTCTCTCCCGCCTTCACGTTTCTTCCCAGACCCACAAAGGCATCTCTTTTTCCCAACCAATAAATTGATTACTTTCAGCAATGGAGAAGCCATAAGACCTGCTCTCCTCCTGTTTTCCCTGACTTGGATTAGGTGGGTGAGAAAGTAGGGGACAGCTGGGGTCACCCAGGGACAAAAATCTAGGGAAAGATTAGTTCTGGAGTCATATGTCTCTGCTGGGTCAGCCTTTCTCCAGTGGATCCTTGCACCAGTCCTGCGAGGCTGGCCACTCTCCAGGGGTCACGGAGCAAACAGGGCCTCACAGAGATGTAGGAACACCTCTGAAACCACTCAGATTCACCACGGAGTGTGTTGCACGTCTCTCTGCCAGCCGTACTGCTGGGAGACATGCTCACGAGGCCTCCTGGCTACTCAGAGCGCTCAGGGTAGTCCGTAACAATCCAGGAGGTTGGTGAGAAGGCTGTCAGTAGAGTGCCTGCTGCACAAATGTGAGTTGGAGTCCCGGCACGGCATCCATGTATGAAATGATTGAGCACAGCAGCATGCCTGGGGGTGGGGGTGGGGTTGGAGATAGATCTTTTTGGCCAGCTAGTTTAGACAAACAGCAAGCACCAGGTGCAGAAAGAGACGACTGTCCAGAACTGGTTCTTTCCATCATGTGGGTTTCAGGGCTCATGCTCAGGTGGGCAGACTTGGTGGCAAGCATCCTTACCTACTCAGCCATCCCATTGGCCCCACCCCGTGGTTTAATAAGGCGTTCCTGCCTGTCTTTGTGCCCACCTACCCTTGATAATAACAGAGCAGACCAGCTCCGTGCCATCGCCCATCCCTTCAGAGAATAGTTGTTGCTTAAGGCAAACCAAAGGACCATGGGATAAGGCTCTTCAGTTCTCTCCCCATGTGGCAAGAACTAGATAAAAACTCCCTATTTTTAAAATTAAAAGTGGTCTGAAAAATCTTCAGTTTTTTCCCCCTCCATTCCCCATGATAAGTTTCTGCTTAGCACAGAGCCTGGCACAAATGTCTCTTACATCAAGGGTCATTTCCTTATAGTCCAGTATGGGTCCTTTTACTTCCAATTCACCTTCCTCACTTTGAAGTTTTTATCTTCAGATGGGTAGAATGAGTATTTTGTACAGTTTCAGAGACCTAATTGATCTTGGGAGAATGTGTTTAGAAAAATGCATTTTTTTTTTATTCACACATACACAAACACCTTAAGGGGCCCTCAGGGAGCTTGACTCCACGGATGGCTGGGCTGGCTTGACAAATCAGGTGCCTCTGCAGACTATCTCGCATTGGTCTTTGTTCAGAAAGTTGTTTTTGTTGCTTCTGCAGCCGCCATAGTAGAACTGCTCACACCTCTCAGCATAGCTGTTATAGAACCATCTTGTGAAGATGGCTCGGCAGTTGCCTCTTTTCATAGGAAGTTTGCATATAGGCAGTAAGGACTTCCTGGGTACTTGAGGAAGAAGAGTGGTTACGGAGGCCAAACCCATCACCTCACCCTCTGCTGCTACTTCTCTCCTCTGCTGGATGTTTCCATGGCCACAAGGTGCAAGGCTGTGGTCATCCATGGCAACTTCCTCTTCCCACCTAACCTTATCCATTCCCATAGAAGCCAAGGTTTGTGCTTCTGCAAGGAGCGAAGCACGCTTGCCTGGGATTTCCACTCAGGTGGATTCACATCCCAGCCCTGCCACCCATGACTGCATGAGACTACCAGAGACGGTCCCTTCTCGAAGTCTCCAGTTTGCTGCCTGTGAGATGCTGGGCTCTGTATCACCTTTTCCCCCTCAGATGATTCCCTTTAGTCAGATCCCTCAGGCTGCTGCCTCCTATCCCACAGGCAGTTCCAGAATGGACAGACTGTAGAGAAAGGGTGAACCTCGGACCTGAGAGCAGGGCTTGAAGCCTGACTCACTCATTTACTGGCTGTATAACCTTGAACAAAGGACCTATCTTTTTCCCATTGAGTTTTCTTGACTGTAAAATGGAGTCTAGTGCTTGTACTTTTGAGAGCTTGAAGACAACTGATAAGGGCCGAGGGAGGTGGAACATGATTTTAATGTCAGCGTTCAGGAAAGGCAGAGGGTAGGGGGGTGAGTTTCTGTGGGTTGGAGGCCAGCCTGGTATACACAGAGAGCTCCAGGCCAGGCAGGGCTATGCAGTGAGATCCATCTCAACAAGACACAAGCACCAGCACCATCACAACAAGCAGCCAATAACTCCAGACAACTGAAAAGTCAGCCCCCGAGTAACGGTGAACTGCCTCCAAGTATCCTCTTTTTCCCAAGCAACTGGACCCAGCTACACAAGCCTTGCCTACCAACCCTGCAGCCCTGGTACCCAACTCAGGCCTGCCTGCCTCTGAGTTCTCAGCAAACACTCTCCAAAGCCGCAGTAACAGGCTCTTTCTATTTTTTTCTCATTTGAGTCAGATTTCTTCACTAGCCAGGGACTCACCAAATCCAAATAGGCTGGCTGACAAGGAGCCCCCTGGCTCCGCCTCCCCAGCTCTGAGATTACAAGCATGACATCGTGCCTGGCCTTTTCCTTTTCCTTTCTTTTTCCCCTGTTCTCTCTCTCATTTTCCCCCCTCTGGCGATCAAACTCAGACCTTTATGCTTTCAAGGAAAGCACTTTACAGAAAGATTCGTCTTCTTAGTTCCTGCAATTACTCCTCATAGTAACTTCAGGGCAAGCGGAAGATGCCAAGGGCCTCGTGTGTGCCCGGAAAGCGCTCCATCGCTCCGCTGCATCCTTGAGTCTCTTTGCTGAAGCTATCAGGCTTATAATGCTACGTGAAGAAACTGCAGTCAGGGAGGTGAAGCACCTGACCTAATGCCGGGAGGTGGGGACCAAGACAAAAAACCAGCACAGCCCAGTGGCCAAGGTCTGCAGGTTCTCAACCTGTCCCCTTTATTGTAGAATGGATGGTGAGTGAACACACCTTGGGTGGAGTTTGGTGGAAGAGCCTAGGCAGGGAATGGTTTAGGTTCTCCCCTGTCCATGCCCCGTAGGGCTGCTGCTAGTACAAAGGGTAATAGAAAAGAGCTAAATAGCTTATCCAGTCAGGATGGAAATGGATGCTGGTTCCATGGCAGGGGAGGGGCATTGCTGGCATGGTCTTTAGACATCCCGGTCACAGGAGCATCTTCCTTGACCCCAGGTGAGCCAATAGGAGGTGGAGTCCCATCTACCTACTTCCTATTTCAGTCTTGCTTTCCCTCTTTGTTGATTCTATTAAAGCCAAGAGGAAATCGATTGATCTACTTACTTTCGTATGTAAGAAAGGTGACCCCCTCCCCGTATGTGAGTGTGTGTGTGTTTTCTGAATGTTACTAAAGTGTTTCATGAGAAACTGCTGAGAGCTGTTACACTAACACAACTATACACATCAGATTCGATCAATAAAGCAGACACAACCATTACTCTTATCTTTCAGAGGCAGAAACTGACATTCTGGGAAACCAAACAACATCCAGGCCTCCACCTGACCCCTCATGTGCTTTGAGACCACCTCACACCCCCATTCCAAACCAACCTTTTCTTGGTTCTGAGCAAAGCTCTTGGCAGAAGGTGAGGATCAGGAAAAAGGAGAAGGAGGCCTGGAGCTGCATGGTGTCTGCCAACAGTGGGCCAGCCTGGGGCTCTCGTATTTAGGGAGAAAAGAGGTTGAGAGGAGGGGCTGATCCTGCATCCCTCTCTCTCGCCCCTAACTGCTGCTGCTCTCGGGGCTCGCTGCTTCCGGAACAGAGAGTCCCCAGCAAAGCACAGTTTTGTCTCTGTCCTCCTAGACATATCTGATCTGGCCTCCAAGGCTAGCATGCCACCTCTTCAGTGTAGGGGCCTCTTCAACAAGAATGCAGCAGCTGCTACCATCAGCCATATGCTTTTGTGTTCCCAGGCACCACTCAAAACACACGTCACACACTGTTTGTCTATGAAGCTCACACAGGAACCCCCTGCTACGATTTGGATGTGGTGTGAGCAGATCAACAAGGAGCCCATACCCTGGAAACTTGGTTCCCAAGGTGGCAGTGTAGAGCGATGGTGGAATCTTTAACGGATGAAACTTATTGCAAGATCCTCAGGTCACAGAAGTGGCTGTTCTTGAAAGAGACTGATGTCATTCTCATGAGACCCCAGTTAGTTCCCCTGAGAGTGAGTTGGTATGGGACTAGAGAGGCAGCTCAGTAGTGAAGAGCAAACACTTTAAAAAAAGTTTTTATTTTATGAGAATACGCTTTTTTTTTTTTCTTTCTGTCTGTATGTCTATACCACATGCCTGCCAGGTACCCAAGGAAGCCAGAGGTAGGTACTGGATTTTCTAGACTGGAGTTACAGATGGCTATGGGCTGCCATGTGGGTGCTGAGACTCGAACCCAGATCCTCTGAAAGAGCAGCCTGTGCTCTTAACCACTGAGTCGTCTCTCTGGCTCCCATGAGTGTATATGTTCTTGCAGAGAACCTGACTTGGATTCTTAGAATCCATGCTGGGCAGCTCACGTCTGTAACTCCAGCTCTGAAAAAAAATCTAACACCTCTGGCCTCTGTGGGGACCTGTACGCACACGAGCAAACCCTCCCCCATACACACACACACACACACACACACACGTAAAATAAGTCTTTGAAAAGAACAAACCTAAGTTTCTCTGACTTCTTATCTTCCCATATGTCCTCTTATTAAATATACCCCTGCCATAATGCCACCAGCTGTTCCATGACAGTTAATTTGGTCGGGTGTGGGGGGCGTTCTCATTGAAAGTCAAGCTGATGGAGCCACCTCTTCTTGGACTTTCAGCCTCCAATTTTTTTGAAGTAAGTAAGCCCCTTTTAAAAATAAGGCATCCAGTCTTATTATAGTAACAGGAAATATTCAGAAGCACTCCATTTCGTAATGGGGTGCAAGAAGATTAAAGTACTGTCACCACAGTTGTATGAAGAACAAGTTTCAGAGCCACAGCTGAGTCTCCCGTCTGTTCGGCTCCAATGACTGGGCTGGCTGTACTGTCAGGGCTGTCTTCACAGCTGGGTGCTTTCAGGGAATTATGAGAACAACACACACTTGGTCTAGAA